TATTTAAATCGAAAAAACTCAGTAGAAATTGCAACTGGACGTAGAGACTAAAAAATGACGACACCCTTTACTTCAACTAGTTTTACTGTAGTTATTTGCTGAAGCAGCGCTGAATTGAAAGCAAAAATTACAGTGGAAAATTCATGTTCGTATGGAAATGAAATGAATGAATTAGAAGTGTTATTAAAATACCTAAACCGGCCATCAATTCTCTCTGCTTCGATGGCACACTAATCATGCATTCGGCAGGCAAACACGTAAAGGGAGGGCAAAATTACCCTTTTAAATCGATTTATTCTGATACAGGATTGTTTTTGCCCTTTAAAAACGCAAAGTGTGAAAATTTACGCCCGCCACTTGATATTTAAATTCGCCACGGATTTGTTTCGGCTTATTTAGGATAGCTATTTAGTAGGAAGCGACAATTTAGGAAAATATATTATATACGTAATGCGAATAGGGAATTGCTTCCATTATAGGTGCTTTTGCAAAGTTTCCTTCCAGATGATTTTATTTAATTTTGTACATCTTAAATAATTTTCACATGACCATCGTGTAAACTTTATTCGTGAGTTAAATATTCTCACTAATGACTTTGGGCGGATGTAAGACAATTGCTCGATTTAAGAATGCTCTGGAATTATGGGAGGAAAAGTGAATACGAAAATAATATGGTAAACCACGATATTAAATTGCTGTTTCTATTTGAATGATATCGGAATGAAATAACGTCGAAAAGGTCCCAGAGCCATTTTTACGTTTGATAGGATTGGGTTTGCCGTTTATATTAGGCTATTTTGAATAACAAATACTTTGGTTTGCATTTTGGTAGGAAGTTTCCGTGCTGTGGAATTCATCCAGACTGCTGATAATTTGAACCAAAATGAAAAATAATGGTGATTTTCGATTAATTGAAATTTATGTTTTTTAATGTTCGGCTAAACTTGAAAGTATAAGCGAAGATATTTGCATTGTGCATTGTTCCTATAAAAATTACAATCTTTGCTTGCTGCAGAATGTTAAATTTGTGCTTTTTAATCATAAGAAATATTAAATTACTTGTTTTGTAATGAGATAATTCCAGTTTGCAAAAACATATAGATTTTATGAAAATAATCGACGAATTAAAAAAATCAGGACAAATAGCTATTACAAACTCATACACTTGTCTGTCTTTAACAACGATCTTTTACTTAAAATATTTCACTTGAAGCGTAAAACTATAAAAACTGGTTTTTTATTTGCAAATCACTTTATTTTTATATTTAGATTACTTATCAAACACTTGCATCATACAAATTTCAGATTTCTAAAATATCGCGAATAAATAGGAAAAGCAAAACTCGGAACTTTCTAAGCATACGAAATAAAAGTAATATAACAAATATAAATTAAAAAATATAAATTTAGATCGATAAACTATTCGTGCAACAGAAGACTTACCTTCTGATAGCAACTGAAGACATATTTTCTTGCTGCTTTATCTTCCAACAGCTTTATGAAATTTTGGAGGACAGTCCAGGAATAAAATAAAAAAGTCCTCTAGAATAGAATACCTTCCTGTATAAATTAAGTGCTAAATTTATTTATGCTGAAATTGACCGTAATTGAAATTGTGAAAGTTGCCATGCCTTTCCAGAAGATCATATTGAATCATTGATAATTTACAAAAGAGGAGGCATGATTTATTGGCCCCCTAGATCTCCCGATCTTACACCGTTAGATTCCTTGTTCTAGATCACATGCGAGCTAGGCCGCATTTGGTAAGGAGTTGAGACTTAATCATACTTCCAATTGTCTTCCCCCATCATGTTATAGTAGAGGTTTTCTCGGATTTTTTTGTTAAAATTCTCCTTTTCAAAAACCCACTCTTTTTTCTTTTTCTTTGCGATTTGTATTTGGACAACTGAAACTAGTTTTGAAACAACGTCGATTTTAATTAAATGCTTCATGCCTTCAATTGCAGTCTGTGGAAATGTTGTAAGAATTCGGCGAAATTCTGAGCTAAAATACAATTTGTCACATATTTGAAATAGCAACGATGATATCGAGAATTAAAAGCTCGGAAAGGATGCAGCTTGGCGACAAATCCGAAATTTATTGCCGACCCAAATTAAAATACCAGAGAACATACATCGAGTGTTTTACATCGGAAGAAAAAATACAATGGGCAAAAATTGAAAATCGAGTCGAACTCGATGCGTTATTGTGCAAAACGTATTGTTCGGAGAGCTAAATGAAATTTTATTTAAACCCGACCGATAGGGTTGCTGTCACTGGAACTCGGTTGTAAAACGTTTTATTTTAGGTATTTGCTGTCCAGATAGTTTACTGCTCCTAGTTGAAATTGTAGAAAGTTATTTCAATTCTTAATTCATTGAAGGGTGAGAATGTTATTTAATATTTTGCTGAGAAATTTAGTTAAAAGCGAAAAAGTTTTAAATTAATAAAAACGTTTTAAATTGTTCTATTGGTGTTAAGTTTACAATCGAGACTGCACTCCGTAGATCATAATTTCAATTCCGGAGCATTAAAGTCAGTGCAAATTGTTCAATTGCCAATCTGAATAATATTTTTCCTGTTGGTTTTCTTTGAAGCTTATTCCGTATCCGAGAGATTAGTAATATTTGATTTTTAATAATGTAAATAATAATTCGAATTAATAAAAAAAACGTCCCAAAATAACTACAAGATTTTTAGTAAAAAGAAAGCACAATTTTTATTTCACATTATTCATGTGCACGCACTGCTTCAATATTTACATTTTTTTCTTTGGATTTGCACCACCAGTGTGTTGACTTGACTTAAGTTAAAACACTAGTCTCAGCAAATTTTGTGTGAACTTTTCGATTCGTGACCGATAAAGTTTCATTATTTTTCAGATTCTTTCTATTAATAAAAACATGTTGTTTTATTGTGTACCGCTCCATTTTAGTTACTCCAGCTACTAACTACTAGTAATTTTATTAAATTTTTTTATTACTTCTCCCTTTTCGCAAATGTGGACTGCACTACTGTGTTATAAATGATCTTGAGACAAAAATGTTAATGTCAATCGTATTCATTCGATTTTTTCTATAATATATTAATTCTAATAATTAAATTTGTTTCTTCATATTACCAATATGAATAAACCTAACATTTCTCCCTTTTTGAAGATGTGAGTTCAACTATTATGCCCTATAATTAATTTAAATCTCATTTTTAGTACTTAAATCGTAGTCAATGTTAATTAAATCGTTAAGTTTATTTAGAAGCTTTTTCTAAAAAAAAAATAAAATTCTTAGATTTAACGTAAATATTATGTATCACACTTTTTCCACATTTGCAGAAGCTTAATATACAATTAAAATAACGCATTATATTTTCAAAACTACGTGTTTCATTATAAAAATTTCTTGGGTATTACGCACTATTCAATTCGACACTTTGAACACTGGTGTATCACTTTGTATATTAGGCGAGCATTATAGTTTTTCTTTCCTGGGTTTCAGTCAAAATGTGAAATAAAAGTGTGCTAATCGTTTATTTCATATAACGATCCGGCGAGACAACAGCGCCATTATCAGATTTAAATTTCAACACAAACTACAAACATCAATTTACAATTAAAATACGTTGTACAAAAACTATAATTTACAAAGCGTTGAAACATTCATTAGTTCTTAAGGAAAAAAATATTTGGGAGAGCAAAACATTTGAAAAACTTATCCCATAATTGGTTCTGCACCCTTACACCGTATTTTTTTTAAATTAACATATTTTTCTTCCTCTTAGCATTCGCATATTATTGATTGTGGTTTCGTCTGGCCATTGACTCATACAATATATAAAACCTCGAGCATGACAAGAGCAATTTTGCTTTTGAATTTTCTAGTAATACAAAAATAATATCTGCAGATACGTATACTCATTAAAGGCACTAATATACACACACACAAGATCAAGATCGATGTGGACTGAATAAACATTCGCTATGGGATCAGACATCTAACATGATGGGTATTGATCAGAATAATTTTGAATAATTGGCGCATTCAATTCGAGGCCTAAGTCGGCGCTGTATTTTGCATTTCAATTGGCCGATTAAGCTTCAAAATCATATCTAGCGTATATAGTAAGCTTGGGTAAGCCTTGTAAAATGATGATAGGAACCGGCATTAAATTGCGTCAATGCTGTCGAGGGTTTAACGCCGTAGTAGTTTTATTAACGGCCAGAAAATATCAGTTATGAACAATTTTATTACGAGAAATGACGTATTTTCGTTGCTATTCCAATTCATCATTCGCAACGTGGAGGGAGATACATGGAATCAATTAACTGCTGTCCTTTAGTAGGAAGCTATTTTAAATGCATGAAGTTAGAAATTGGAAAGCCGTTGATCAGCTATGAATGGCAGTAATTTGCCATGGGAGGTCTGGAATCTTGTCTTCAGGATCTAGAAAAAAATCTGAGAAAACTGTGAACTACAAACTCTTCATTAACACTTTATTTTTGTCGGCATTTGCAAACTTCCAGTTAAACCGATTCTTGGCCAATACAAAATTAAAATTTGAAAGTCCGTAAAATAGGGCAGGCCAGCTCTGAAATAAATGTTCATTAAATGTTTCCTGATGAGCCCTTTCAGCTTCAGCTTTTACCTGATAAGCAAACGAATTGAGGGCATTCGAGCTACTACTTTTTAATATTAAAGCTGCTGCTCTTCACTATAGTCCACAGATTATAGAAAGCTGAAAAAAATCAATATTTCTCATGTTTTGAATTTTCACTCTCTGGAGAACAAATGGAGAAAATGTATTGAAAAATCGAATTCAACACCAACACTTGAGGATCAAAAATACTTTTTTGCTAACATCTAACTTACCACCAGTATTTTTTTGTTACTTTCTTTTTGGCAAAACTCTGATATGAAATTGTTGAACAGCTTCGGATAGGGCGGCGCTCAGATCGCCTCTCCTGCAAACCTGCGGAGACTCGTCAGTTATCCGATCGACGCGTGGAAACCCAGAGAGTTCACCGTATTTTCATCAGGAAAATTTCCCGAATTCGTCAGAAGTTCCGCAACATTTTTGAAAATGCGGGCGGAAGTTTTTTTCGATCGGCCCGCTGCAAATGCTTTTGCCAGTGGTGAAAGTGACTTTTAATCCAGTTTGGAAGTGAAACAAAAATGTACGTGAAGTTTTGCGCGCTGGTATAGTTGAAGTTCAGTTAGAAACTTAGGGTTTAAGTTAGGAGATAAGTGGCTTGAGGCGAAGCTCGCTTAGATGGTTTGATTGCGATGTTTCTCCATAGTTGTTGAACTAGTTTGCTTTTGACTTTCCCGCCTAATTTCGTGACTATTTATTTATAATTACTTTGAATGAGGTGGGAATATTTTGAAACTTCTGTGGGTTATTCTCCAAATGGATGCCGAAATGCTCATTTACTGGGCTTTTGTGTGCTACTCATAAATTGTATTTAAAAAAATCAAAAAACTGATGAATGTTTTAACACTTTGTAAATTATAATTTTTATACAACATGTTTTAATTGTGAATTGGTGTTTGTAGTTTGTGTAAATTTTAAATCTGATGATGGCGCTGTTGTCTCGCCGAAACGTAATGAAATAAACGATGTTTCAAAATGTTTACTTCACACTTTGACTGAGACCCAGGAAAGATAGTAATATCATAACAAGTACACGCCGTCAGAAAAATAAATCAGAATTGTATTTAAATTAGTTTTTACTTTTAAATTTTGTTACTTTGAATTGACATGTTGTTTTTCTACTAGTTAATCGATGTTCGGCGTCCATATTTCTTGACTGAGTTACGAAAGTTTGCGAAAATCTGTAATTTAGTAGGTATTTCAGTTAGAATATATTAAAATTTTTTTACCTTATTTATTACGCAATTCCTTAATTTTCTAAAATTTTCCAATGTTGCGACTACTTATTCAGCTATTTATTTGCCTTTGACAATATCACAGAGTTGCATCTAATTAACAGTCGAAATGTTGGGTATTTCAGGAAAATAAACCGAGTTTCAATCGGAAAAGGCAATATTATGTTTTGTGTATTCCACTGCACATATAAACTGCTCAACAAAGCCAACGTTACATTGAAAAATTTGGACCAACTATGGATCTCAGTAAATTCTGACTGCTTCAAGGGATTTGGTTTCTGTTTGAAGCGTTCTTGAACGAATTGTTGTTCGTTAAATGCGTGTTTTTGCAAAAAAATGTGCTTTAGATAAAGCTTCTATAGGGTATCAAATCAAATAATGCAAAATTGATGAAAGTTTCGCTGCTGTAAGTTGAACCAAAAAATGCTTTTTGAATCTTTCGCTCATATCTTTTATATACAGAGTGGTTTTTAAAATCTACGTTTTGGTATTGGAGTGATATTTTTTTCTTTTGAACCGCTTAACAACTGTAGCTGATGTTGAAACTGAAATTTCGCAGTCCACTTAATAACAAAATTTATATCCCCGCTTGCATAAATGAACGAAGTATTTTAAAGAAAACTTTGTTTAGTTGAATATCTTCGAGAATCAGATATTTCGGGAGAAATGGAAGAAAAGTTTTTATGTCACCCTGTATATCGAATTTTCGTCTTGAACTGTGTAGACGCTTTATCTTCAACATGAGCCAAAGATAGTGAAAATTGGACCAGGAGCCGAAAAGTTATCGCTGCAAGGCTAAAAAGTTGATTTTTTGAGACCACCCTGTAAAAAACGAGATGACATAAAAAACTCTTTCGAAGCTATTTGATTCATGTTTAAACTTTTGGTGTTGAGATCCTCATACAAATATTTTTGTGAAGCTATAACCTTTCGTTGAACCTTACAAATGTTTGCATTTTTTCATTTGCCGCCCTGTAGAAGATTTATCTGAGATGCTTAATTTTTTATTTTAGTACATTGAGAATCCGTCTTAAGCAAACATATTTATGTATACTTATTTTGAGCATAATTCAAATGTTTTTAGGGTGAGGCGGCGCAAAAGAAGCGAGTTTTGAACATATATTAATATCAGATTGGTTCGAGCTTTAGCATCTTTTTTGCTGACTAGAATTTCAATAAATTAACACTTTATAAATGTTTGATGCATTTTCCAACGCTAAAAGCTGTTTACAACTGTCTTCTAAACACGTAAAATATAGAGAAATTTACAGGCACTATATATACCGGATATAAAAGGTCTGAAATACCTATAATCAAACTATAGATCCAAGAGAAAAAGTTGAACATAAACTAATTTGCTGAAAATGAACGTGTCCAAACTATTCTTCGAGTAAGCTTTCACGGAAATTAATTGCCATGATGGGAACATAAATATCTGGCAAGGATTCTGAAGCACCTGCGTATTGTTGAGAGTGGGGTTTTGGTGTTGGAAAGAATTGATGGCTTTAATGGAGTGGTTACCAAATTAACAGCTGATACTATCTAGGCTTATTTAAAATTTAGTATATCCGAAACTCCCCTAACTAGACAGAAACTCAAGAGTATCAAATAATTTTATAAGGCGCATGTTATTTTCTGGAACAGGTTAAAACGTTCCAGTTTCACTTTGATAATAGGTTCTAAAATAACACGTTGTGTAACATGTAACTGTTTAAATTTTTTATAAAAAATTGGCAATGATGATGATGGTAGAAATAGTGACGATAAATTATGATTTAGTTGATAAAAAAAATTGTTAGCATTGGAAAACTAAAAATATTATATTCCAAAACCAAAACGTGGCTCATAAGTACCTACTTAAAACTGATAATAAAATCGAACGGTTTAAATAAAATATGCGATTTGCATGTGTTTAAAAAGCTAATTTTTATTTAAAAATTAATTAACATTTATCATAATAATTTTTGCGCATGCTTTTTCCTAAGTCTAGTTTTTCGCTCGTTTGTGATGCCTGATTGCATCCGCTTTGGCAAATGGTCTCTCGCATGGAATAGAAGTGCTAAAATATCTGTGGTTTTTTGTTATGAAACAATTTTGTCAAAATGTTAAAAAAATTAATAATTTTCTTCTTGTATATCTTCAATTTTGTCAAAAAATTGAATAGTCTTCTTTATATATTTTTAGTGAACTTCCTCTAATTGAAGGGGCACCACAGTTTTGTTAACAGCATTTGAATTATTTACGCGTTTTATTAAGTCAACAATAACATTAAAAAACAACGAAAATTGTCGATGTTGGATTTAAATGAGGTTTTATGCTGTTCGGAGCAGAATTGCAGGATGATCAAGTTTCAGCTTAGATCTAAAATTTATTTCAACCGGTAACGAAATCTCTAAAGACACTTGTGCTCAAAGTTGATCATTTATTTTCAGCGGTAAAAACATTAAACATCTATTTTGTAGTCTCCTGATTTCCAGTAGGGAATTCAATGACAGATCAAGAATCGAAAAAAAATGTTTTTTTTAAGCCAATTTATTTGATTAAAATAATCCAAAAAATATCAATTAAATCGTTCTTTAGTTGCTTTCAGGGGCTGGGGGAAAGAGGATCAATGACACAGTATTTGTTTTTTTACAGTTTATCTAAAATAAATCATTTTCAGTTCATTCATTGGAGTTACTTTCGTCGATGTTTCAATCTCGAAAGCAAGTCGTCCAACTCGGAAACATGTTTGCATAAAATAGTTCTACCGAAATTACATTTTCAGTAGCAGCTAGGCGTAAAATTCACTATAATCGTCAAGTTCTTTTTTTGCAAACAGAAAATTTATGTTATTAAATGAGCCAGTAAAGTTATTTATGTTCAATAAATTTTCTAGTGTACTCGTAACTTGATTAACATATTTTCTCTCCTTTTTCAGATTCTTCAGGATTACGAAGTTCCTGCAAAACATCCAACCACTTTTTTAATACAATTTCTTACGTGACTTTAAAGAGAAGATCGTTTCTTGACTGTACTGTGAAAGTGTATCTTGTGCGGGTACTTCGTAAAAAGTGCTTTGACCTTCTAAAATGTGACAAAAAATATTATTACTGAACTCAACAATCGATCTACTATCTTCAGCTTTTAACATGTTTTTGATGGTACTGGTTTATGCCTTCCTTTTTGGATTGCTTCCTGCATATATTGGTAAGTCATTTTTAATCCACTTTTATATTCGTACTTAATTTTATCAAGCTACTTCTGATGAGTTTTAATTTTTGAGATGACCATCCAACTATAAACCAAAAACGATTCTCATAAAATACATTTATATTCTAAAACTTGTGAAGCCAGGACATTCATAAATCGCCTCTCATAGACATCAAATCAGACAGTAAATATTTAGTATAAATATTGGTAGATTTGAGCTAATAGGCGATTGGCATTAGATTCAGGCATATTATTGGAATAGCGTAATTTACCTTATTTGTTAACCTGTATTGTATACGTAAATATCGGGAAATTGTATTATCAATCAGCTGATTCATCGAATTGTTTTAGGGTTAAAATCACTCATGTCTCATGTAATCAATGCACGAAAAAAAAATCTTCTTAATGGTTTTCAGGTAACAATGAAATCATAATTTTGGGTTATTTTTAAGTTTATTGGCTTAAATTCAAATAATGCCATTTTGGAATCGGGTTGCTTCATAAATGTCTACAGAGAACGTATGTTTGAAGTGTTCTTGAAATGCTGTTTGCTGAATGCGATAGAGTGCGAATTAATTAGAAAGTGCTGTTTCAAACATACTTAATTAATAATCAAACGAATAACGTAGAATATACAAATTAGCCAGGTGCCAGTGTAATTCCATTATCTACATGTCCGTGCCGTAGTTAATGTAGAAACAAATAGCACATAAAGGAATAATAACCTTATATAGTAAATGTAAAGCACGTATATAAACTGAAACAATACAATCACGTATTGCCCGAATTTAATTCGGCTGTGCCGTAGTTTTGTATATTGTGCGACCGTCGCATCGGAAGGAATTTCATAGAACTTCGTTTTATTTTCAAAGTAAAAGTATTTGATGCTAAGGCAAGAGAAAGATACAAAATCTTCACAAAATAGACAATTTAATGAATGATGATGAAATCGTGCACTTTCAGATCATTTTCACCTGACTACGTGCAGTCTTGTATAATTCATAAATCCTTCTCTATTTACTCTCCAAAATTACAAATCAGTGGTGCAATACAGATTATATTGAATTTCTCCCAATCCTCTTTTGATAGGTTTTAATCCTATTCGAGTTTAACGTAAATCAATACAGTTTAATGATTATTTGATTCAATTAGTACAAATGATTAACTTAAATACCCTCACAAAATTAATGTTTCATTGCGTTTTAATAGGCTTTGTTAACGGTACTAGTGTTTTCGCTCATTTTACTCAATTTATTCATGCATTTCAAATTGCATATTTGGCTTTAATAAATTAATATCAGTTCAAATCAGGACAACATATTTCGAATTTGATAACAAAATGACAATATGAGGAAACTCCACGACTGGATATGGAAAAATTTTGTAATAGTAACCCGTTCTATACGAAAATGAGAACATCATCTATAAGTCGGCTCTAAGGGATTTCAGACTTCAGTTAAAAGCCATATTCAGCTCATTTTACATAAGTTTCAAATGTGAACTAGTTATAAAAAGTAATTTGAGCGGATTTTTGGTTTATTTAAAGAGCATTAAGTAACTTTTTTAAGCAACTTTTACTAAGCGAATAACTGAATAGGGAAGTTTAGCAACTTAAACAGTTTGGCAGAATGTTGCATTAAAACAAGAATGTGTTAGACGCAATAAAACAAAATGGGGGTAAGTTCAAAAATCTTTAGATCAGCAGGAAGCTGGATGTTGTTTAAAATCTCTCCTGAATCGGAAAAACTGAGAGGTTCATACGTATAGTGAAAATAGGTAGGAGATGAATTAACAAGTTAACTTAATCTACAAAGTTCTTCTTCTTCTTAGCGTGCCTTATTCATGTTAATGAATGTAGAAAACAATTTTATTGATATTTCAATTTACGGATTTTGTGTGCTCTAAATACTGTTTAGACGTCAAGATTAGTCAAGTTGCTCATGTTTTTTGTGTGCATTTTTCTGTTCCTAGAACGGATTTCCTAAATCTTTCTTTGATAGCTTATCAACATTTGCGTTAAAACATTTGGCAAAGTTTCACATTTGACAAAGTGGATAATGTCTTTATATTGCACAGGTGATGAAGGCGCAAGAAATCGTAACCGAATTACAAGTTTACGAAGTTGGAACTATAAATTCAATTCGTCGACTAGCTGCTTCTTTAGTAAAACCGCGAGCAGGAAGTTTTCCACTTCCATCCGACAATTCCCGGGAATTTATCTACCAGATTTCTTATTAAGGCTTCTGAGTATTTTACTACCGGAACGTTCAAGATATGCTACGATACCAAACAGGTTTCTTTTTATTTTGTTGATATGACGAAGAAATTTCAAAATCAACTAATAGCTATTTTGTTTAAATTGTGGAAAGTTTAGCTTAATCCTTTACCTGAGTGCGTATTATTGTGTTATCGCATGGAACTATTTACTTATCGGATTAATTTTAAAGGGAGCGTGCAGCTTTTCATTACTATTTTTTCCGACACTGCACAATTAACCCCAATTTAATTTCCTTAAATGCACCTTTTGATAAATGAACAACATCCTTATGCTTTAAAGTGCGCCCTAATCTGCTGACACAAACCTAATTATCGCATATTTTCCTTGAACTATCGCTAGAAAATGTCTAGTAATTTTTAGCCGAGAGTTATGACTGCATTTAGTTATCCAGCGGATTAGAGCTAAACGTTTTATTTAGCTAATTAGATGTTACGAATCTACCTAATGCAGATACTGCAGAGTTTACTTTCTGTAAAAAACTCTTACATTTTTCAGACCCTCTCCAAACTCAATTTTTAAACAACCCTCCGCGCCATCAATATATAACTTTCTATATCCCTTCACGGTTTGGCCTTCCTTGAAAGCCACTGTTCACGTAATAAAAAAAAGTCTGGAAAATACATGGAAAAGCCTATTTAACTTCCGCAACGATTTTTCACACTTTTACCTAAGATTTCTTGTGACACTCAATTTGCGCTGAGAAAGTTTTATGAGTTAAGATTTTTTTGAGCTGTTGTAAAACTTGACAAATCGGCACTGCAATAAATCAAACTGAGTATTTAGATTTGGCCAATAAAATGTCGGTTTTTCGACACGTTGAAGACGGTTTTCTGTAAATGAAGGGTGTTTTATGATAAGTTTTTTTAAATATTGATAGTTTAAGTATTAAATTTTGTTACAATTTTTATTCCAGGAATGGAAATGGATAGAAAATATTTGCTTATTTATTATGCACACAAGCTATATAAACTAGCTGTAATTAACCCTTTTATTAAGAATCTACGTACCCATTTTAGTTGCTTATTAAGAACTGAACTTATACATACGCATAAGCATACCTTAACATTTTGAGTGAGACCGTTTAGGTTTTAGTTTGAGAACTCTGTTGTTTGCTCTATTTGTAAAAGTTGTTTATTCGTTACAAATTTAAGTAGTTAACAAAAAGTAATCTACCTTGATTATTAAACAAAATTTTAATGAACCCACTTGCATTATGATAATATTTTGAATGGCAATAAAATTATTATGAAGTGATGTTTACAAAGTTTATCAATGCATGCCAAAACATGAATTTTGTTTCTGATTGTAAAAAACTTGTTTTTAAAAAACCGTTTATTACGAATCAAAAGTGTGTTTTACAACAACGAGATGTTACACTTTGTCCTACTAACTTAAGA